TTGAGAGAAATTGATGGGAGGAAGGGAGGGAATTAGTAAGAGGGAGATCGATTGACTATATCGCGCTCTCGGTCGGCCGGGAGCAATGAATGTCCTTCCTCCTAGTCGAGGAAGGTCTTCAGATCACCCCTAAAGGGTCTTCTCAATCGTTCCCCTGGAGGAACGACGAGGTCGCCAGATCAATCGCACGTGATGATGATGAAGATCCTTGATGGTAATGCCTATGATGATGATGATGATGATGATGATGAAGTTGATGATGATGATGATAGCAGCCACGAACCAGTTATCCGTGTGGTAACTTTTCTGACCCCTCTAGCTTGAAGTCCCGAAACGCTGAAGGATTGATAGGCGAAGCTCTCGCAGTTTTTTTTTTTTTTTTTTTTTTTTTTCGAGGTTGTGCAGGTTGGAGACGGCCTTAGGGGGGTCCTTGTCGCACGACCATTGAGGGCAGTCCCGCTAGGCCGGCCGGCGCGTCGAGCCTTCCTACGCTCTCGGAGCGGGTACTACACTCGCCAAGCGAGACCTGCGCAGACGGCCCTGCCCGCAATGGTATCGTATGTTCCAACCCCCTCCCCACACCCCCTAACACACACCCTCACTGAACCAGCTGAGACCCTCAGAGACAGCTCACACCCTCACGTACCCTGGAAGATGGGAGGGTATCAACTATGACCGACGCTCCGTAGCCGCATGCAACACATCAGGGCATCCCCGAACTCAGACCACGGTTGCCACAGAGACATTTTGTGTCGGGACGCATCTCACACCCAATCGCACCCTATATCCCCGTACCGGCCATCCCTGCTATAGAAGAACCCGTTTGAGGCACCCCCTCCCAAAGCTAGCCTACTCCTACTCCTAGCTACCTCCCCCCTACATGGACCTGATTTTTTCACGATTTTTCGGATTTTTTTCCGGTAAAGCCCCCAGGCGATGACGGCCCCCACAAGCCGACGCAGTTTCCGCCTCCGTGACCCCGTATTTTTTATCAGGGCCCTCAATCCCTCACATCGTGCATGGCTATTTTGTGCCCACACGGAATCCACCACATCCGCGCCATCAGCGCGTTATCCCAACACTTTCCACATCGACAGCGTGAACCCACCCCCCAGGAACAGACTGCAGCCGGGACTCGATCCCCCCAACACCGACTCCAACCCGCAGCAACCCGTGTGTGGATGGCTATGCGCTATGGGACCGCGAAACGGCAGCCTATGCGCAAGGAAGCGGATTTGAACCCGCAACCTTATACCACAATGCGCATTTCTAGCCGGTGTCCTAACCACTCGGACTCTTGCCATCCACGCTCTCGCAGTTTGTATTCGTACTGGAAATCAAAATCAAATGAGCTTTTGTCCTTGTGCTCCTCACGAGATTTCTGTTCTCGTTGAGCTCATCTGAGGACGCTTGCGTTATCTTCTAGCAGATGTGTCGCTCTAGCCAAGCCCGGGTGCGCACGTGCGTGAGGGCGGGGGGGTAATCGGGGGAGGAGCGTGGGAAGAGGGAGGGGGGCAGATCGCGCGAGGAAGCACGATCGGTCAGGATGGAGGTCGGGGGTAGGAAGGGAAGTATCGGGGGGAGTCGGGATCGGAGGGAGCTCGGGGGGGAATGTCGAGATTGCGGGGGCAAAGTAGAATCGGGGGCGGAGAGAGGTCGGGAACGTCGCGCATGCACGTGCGCACCGGCTGGGGGAGGGGGGGNTCATAAGTTCTCAGACTGTTCTTAGCCGAAGCCAGGTAATGGCCCTGGTATCTCAAATCATTTCTCGAATCATTTGTATAATTCCATATGGGACGCTGGGCCCGGTTCCCAGCACGTGTTGCTCCCCACGAATAGATTGGAGCTTTTTTTCCCAAAAAAAAAAAAAAAAAAAAAAAAAAGGTTGTAGCCCAGCCTGGTCCTGTAGTTCAAGATGCTGATACGGCGCTCGACCCTGCCTGACCTGGTTGGGAGCTTCCATGCCCATTCTGCAAGGTCCTGGACTGTTGTTCCGGGTTGAAAGATGTTGTAGTCGTCCTCCTTCACTACTCTGATATTTCGGAGGCAGGAGAGGCTGCCTACCACCTGTGTCCGGCTGGTTTTGCTGACTCCGCTGGTCGTTTGGCCAGCCTCTTCAATGTCGTGTATGTTAAGCAGTACCCCCCGGGTCCACCCTTCGGACGAAGGAAAGGGCTACTGCGGGGGGGGTCTTCTCACTCCCAGGTTGCCCATTTTCCAGGAGTCAAAGCAGTTCCCTGCACTAAGATCGTGGCCCAAGATAAGGGAACGGACACGAGGAGGTCATTGAAGTTCTGCTGCAAGTTGTGACATCCCCGAGCTCCGTGTTTTGAGTCGTCCTGCCAGATGTGCCTCACTCCACCCATGTGGCCGATCTGCCGTCACGTGCAGTCGAACTCCAAGGCTTCTGGGTTGTCCCTGCCGAGATTTACTCCGGAAAAGTCAAGCGACCCGGTATGCAAGGGACATTCTGTTTTTTTTTTGTTTTTTTTTTTTGCCAAAAGCAAGGCCTTATGGTCCTGGCTCCATATCCATTCTGGGGAGCATCAGTCCGGTTCCTTTCCCCTGGCAAGTCATAGAATACAATAATTCACACACTGACGCTTCCTTCCGTCTGGCCGAAGGACCCCTGAACAGCATTGATTGCTCCGACGACATGGAGGATTGACTGTTAGCTTGCCATCCCTCTAGGAATCCTCTCAGCTATTGCTACCCTTTGCTGCCATATTAAAACTGTTGAAAACAAGATTCCTCAAGAACTGTTGCATACTGTAACGTGCAGACCAGAACAAGAACGGACCTTTCAATACAAAGTACAAGATAACACAGCGGAAGACTTAGATACCAGTGATCCGAACAATTAATGTTGTAATGCAGCCCTGAACATACATCATCATCGTTACAAGGTGTGAATGGGTCTGGCGCTTCACACAGGAAGACAGCGCCAGCCCATACCATACACAGACGAAGAGGAAGGGGATAGACGAAGAGGAGGGGGAAGATGGGAATGTCGTCAACACCAAGTCTTCGGCACAAGCCCAAATAGTCCCTCGTCGGAATGTCTGAATCCCAAATGTCAAGTCTGGATCCAATGTCGTTAAGTCTCAAGTCACAACTCTGTCTCTCTCTGTCGTAGTCTGAGAAGTCAGGTGGCGAGAGGGTGAGAAGAGAAGGTGGACTTAGAAGAGGAAGAAGAAGAACTCTCTCTCTCTCTGTGTCCAGTACCTGTCTCTTATACACATCTAGATGTGTATAAGAGACAGGGAGTGGAGAGGGCAGGGGGGAAATCCGGGAGGAGCTCGGCGGGGATAGAAGGGAGAGGGGCAGTAGAAGAGGGGGGATGCAGCGCCGGGAGGAGACTCGGGGTTTGGGGGGGGGAGCAAGCAGCGGAATTGGGGAGATGGGTAGGGGAGGTGGGGGGAGTCGCGCGCATGTGCGCGCCGTAAGGAGGGTGAAGGGAGAGGACGGGGGGGGGAGCTCGATCGGGATGGGGTAAGGGAGTCAGGGCGCGAATGGGGAAGGCGTCGAGATCGGGATTGGTAGTGGTAGGTAGCAGGATCGAAGGTAGGAGGGGGAGTGGGATTAGGATTGGTGGGGAGGAACGGGGTGGGCAGCGATCGGGATAGGCAGGAGATGGCGGTGGAACCAGGGGGAAGGGGGGGTTGAGGATGGAAAAGTATCGGGAAGGAGGGAAGCGGGATGGGGAACGGGAGGGGGGGAGTGGAGGAGCATGCTGAAGATCGGCCAGCCACATGTCATTGATCCTTCTGGAGGTTCACCTACGGAATCCTTGTTAGGCTTCTCCTTCTTCTAAATGACGAGGTTAACGAACTTCTCACGGCAGCACGAGCCGGCGGTGCAATCGGTAGGGGCGACGGACAGCCAGGAAGCCAAAGTACAAACAACAACAATCGACGTCCATGGTGTGTAGGAGGACAGCAGCAGCTGGAGTAACGCCGATGTCGAGGTTGCCGAGGAAAAGGTGCCGGCTTGGATGTTGGATGTACCTGGTCACGATGATAGACAGGGTGCACGGCAAAGATGAACTTGGGGATGGCTATCCGCCGTGGGCGGGTAGCGAGAGTGGAGGGAGGGAGGGAGCAAAGGTTCGAGAACCTGCTCCGATACCAATGTGACGCACGCGCGGAGGGCACGTGCGGAGATGGTGAGAGAGAGAGAGAGAGGAGATGGACACACACGAGAAGCAGCAGCTGAGTGAAGGTCCAGTCCGACTCAATGAAAGAACGAACAACTGAGTGAACCAACTGCCCGGGACCTGGGCCTAGGCCGAAGTGATATACCGGCCTAGGTCCAGGTACGGGAAACAACCTGGTACCGGACCAGGGTCAGGCCGACGGCCTGAAACTGGTCTGGTCTCACTGCTGGGCCATAGGGGTACCGCTACAAAGGAGGCTCTCAACAGAGGAGGGTTGTTTGTTAAGGTAAGTAGGTTAGAAGGATGATGCTGGGACGACACAGGCCGGTGCTGGAGTTTTTGCTCTGTAACCTAGATAGGGGAGCTTGTGGCTTGTGGAGTTATGCCAAGGGTGGAAGGCATAACCAGACCGTTCGACGTTGTCGGCGCCGGGGTATTAACCCTGTAACCTATGTCAGGGGCTTGCCGCTATGGGAAATGTCAAGGGAGGAAGGCACTGCCTGTCCTTCAGAACTAGTTTGGTCAGTACTGGGGAAGGTTGTGGTGCCCTGATAACCTAGCAGAAGGGGGTATGGGATCAAGTGAGTTCTGGTACGAGGACTGAAAGCCTGGACTGACGTTCCGTCTGTTGAGGGGGGGAGTTTTGGATAGTAGGCAGTTTCAGTTTTGACCCCCCGCTCTCATATTTTTTAAGTTTTTTCAAGTTTTTTCAGATTTTTGAATGAGGTAAGTCTAGAGAATGCCTTAGGATTCTGGGCACTTCTTGCAACTCAGTTTAGACTTTCTCTAAGGCAGTTATATTCATGGATCTGCGGTTTTCCGATGCCAGAACGACGCTGGCCGGAGCTGGGGGGTTGCCCTGTAACCTGTTGATAGCAGGAGCGTGAGGCCTGGTAGAGAGATCTGGGGATGCCTTGGGCTGGGCATTCCAAAGGAAAACCAAGGGTTGCTGTCGGTGCGAAGCTGGCCGGAGCTGGGGTGAGTTGTGTTGCCCTGTAACTTAGCAGGATGGGGGCATGAGGCCGGGGAAAGCTCGGCAGGGAATAAGAGTGTGTTGGAGAATTTCAGAATGTTTTGTTGGGGATTCCAGGGGTTCTGAGCATTCAAAGGGCTTAGTGAGTACTGTTTGAGTAGCCTAGCAATAGGTTAGCAAGTTATCCATGTTTTCCTAAATTTTCCAGAACCTTTTTCATAAGTTCTCAGACTGTTCTTAGCCGAAGCCAGGTAATGGCCCTGGTATCTCAAATCATTACTCGAATCATTTGTATAATTCCATATGGGACGCTGGGCCCGGTTCCCAGCACGTGTTGCTCCCCACGAATAGATTGGAG